TTTGAAGGTTCAAATGAAGATACTTTAAGGAATGCGCTGAAAGTGTGGTGAAGGGACGTGGTAAAGGAGGCCCAGGCATCAGTAAGCCCCCACCCCAAGGAGGCAGGTGACCTCAGGAGAGCAGCAGGGGTGCAGGAGGGGCCACCAGTGTGGACTGGGTCAAGAGGGGACCCAGCCCCTGCAGCACAGTGGCCAAGCAGGAACGGGACGGGGAAGCATCACTGCAAACGCTCTCGCTTCCTGCTCCCGGATCCTTGCCATCACCCACCAGGGGACCCGGCACTCCCAGGATCCGAAGGCACCAGCCCTAGGAGCCAGCCCCCAGGACCCCGGGGAACTGCACATGGACCTGGGGTGGGGACTGGAGCAGCTCAGCGAGCATCATCAGCACAGAGGACGGTCGGCTGCTGCGAGTCATTCTGATTTTAGGGCTGAGAAGGCGCCCGACCGTGATGGAGCCTTGACGGGACGCCGCGTGCTGGGGCTTTGCTGGCGACGTGGTAGCCCCGGGGCTTCTGCAGAAGGACTGCTCTCTAGCGATCTGCGCTTGGTAGGCCACTGCGCCAGGGAGTGTTTACTGACATTTGACCCCCCCTCTGCCCGCTCCCTCTCCCCGGTGGCAGAGCCTGTGTGCTGAGCAGCTGCGCTTCTCAGAATCCCAGCAGCTCCCGGCTGAGATTCCCAGCCGTGTTTTAGGGGGCAGAGGACGTATTTCCCCGTGGCAGCTGTGGCAGGCATGCAGACCTCAGCGCGTGGCAGCTGGGCGGTTCTGCCATGAGCTCTGGGACACTCCTGCCACCGTCACCCTGATGCTGAGGAGAATCCCAAGACCGTTCACAGTGGGTTCCTGTGAGGCCTGTGGCTTACTGAGCTCCCGAGAGCAAGCAGCTTTCCTGCTGTGCACACGGGCCTCTCGTGGCTCTGGAAGCCAGTGCCATGTATCATGTCCATTTCTGCGTGAGGTGCGTGGACCATGATCTATTTTCCTGGCAGAATCTGGCTGATACGGTACTTGGTACTGAAAATGGTTCCAGGAAATACAACTGCAATGGCAACAGGCTTGGTTTGAGCTGAGGCTGCAGCCACAGTCTCCTGGGGTCCCAGGACTAAGTGCTGCTGTCCTCTAGTGCTCTGCGGCACAGCAGGGATTGTCTCATAGTCCTTCCTGCTCGGACCCCCAACCAGCTAGGGTGACACATTCTGCCTTGCCAGGCAGCCATTCCCGTGATGGCATCACAGACAGGTGCCAGGGTTAACTGGAAAACACGGCATCGGCAAGGCCCTGGCCCTCGTCACTGTAAGCTGGGCACAGTCAGTCGGCAAGTGCCCTGACCAGCATTCCAGGACAGAGCGGACCTGGACGTGAGGAACAACAGGCGCCTCTCTGAAGTCACACAACAGTGGCGGCCTCCTGGGGTGGGAAATGGCCTTCTAGGGGGAGCCCCAGGAGCTCTGGGCCCAAGCGAGCAGTGCCAGCCCCTCCTTCTGCTGAGCTCGCCCCAACATACCAAGCCAGCTGTCTGCTCAGGATCAAAACGGGGAGGGAGATGAGCCTATGGAGCCACCAGCATTTCTGTCCTTACACAGATTCTTAGTGCACTGGACCTGTTGGTCGCATGGCTAAAGGGGCAGGACCTCGTACTGCAGCCTGAACTCAGCACAAAGCCCTCTTGCTTTGCGCCACAGACCCTACTGGAAACCTGACAGCCACCCTACCTGGTGGAAGTATTTTCCCACTTATTACATGCTAGCTTCAAAATCCAGTGGACCTACCAATTGCTGGGCCTCTTTCTTAGTGATGTCAGGCAGATGTGCAGTAATTTGTCCTTTACCTTAAAGGGGATGTTCTGAGGATGTCCACACCATTGGATTCCTACCAATGCATCAGGACCCTGAATCTCCGTAGCTTTACCTTCCATCTCTGAAGCGAAGCACCTTAGCAGGGCATTCCAAGTATGTACCACTACCATTCCCCAAGTGTGATGAGCATTATCGTATTAATGCGTGGGCTGAGGCGATACTCCGGCGTTGTTGCAGAGAGCAGGAGGGTGCACCCAGGCCTTGGCAAGGCAGTAGAGGGAGCCACGACACTCTCCAGGCAACGCACCCGACTGGCTTCTTCTGTCTTTGAGGACATGAGAGTGCATTTCCCAGATCAGATCATACCTGCCTGCTGTGTGCCAGAGTGTGTCCAGTGACACCACCGTGGGGGTTGTCACGCAGTAGAATGGATGGCCGGACGTGGTGACAGCTGGGGCACACCAGGATCTTTGCAGGGGTCCTACCCGTGGATTCAATGGCCCCTCCTCCACCCTTTAAACCTTTCATGGTAGCACTAACACTGGCAGGTGCATGGGGGGATGGACCGCTTCTGCTCAGCCAGCAGTGGGGCCACCAAGGCGCGGGGCTCAGGTCCTCCTTTAGGAATCACTGACTCGGCTCTCTTTGGGAATCAGAGGCTTCCTGCAGCCCAGGCCATGGCTGCCTGTCCAGGTAAGCACACACCAAATGACTGCCCAGTGCAGGGAATGTCCCACTCTAGCCCCTCGCCCCAATTTGGGACAACTCTGGAAGGCCCCCCCAGGTTGGCTGAGCCTCCCGACTTCTCGTTTGGTCCTGTCCTCCCTGTTCAGCTGCTCGTCCAGGGGTTGCCCGATAACCCTCCCACACGGCCACCGGACAGCTGTCTTGGCCACCAGGGACATCTCCAGGGCCTTTCTAAATAGTCAGAGAATGGACAGGAGGGTCCTGCTGGCTACTAAGTACAGCTGTCCTTGCCTGCACCCTGGAACAGGAAAGTGACCTCGGGTTTGGCCCAGCAACCTGTTGCAGCCACTGTGTGGGGCTTGGGCCAGGGCTCCAACAGGGACCCCAGTGGCTTCCTGGATCCCAAATGTCTTTTCCAACAGCTCTCCCAAAGTCTTTCCTCCTCTCCCCGGGTGCTGCTAGCCTAAGTGACAAGGGTGCTGACGCAGGAAGGGGTGAAGACCGAGCCAATAATCTAGTCCACACAGGAAACACAAGTGGGGAACAAAGGCTGGGGACGGTGGGAGCCACTTTAGCCAGGAAGCCGGAAGGCGCCCCCTGAGGACAAGACCTAACCTCCTCAGGCAGGAGGTAGCTGAGGAAGGTGGGAACGCCCGTCCAGGGACAAGCGCACGGGAAGGCGAGCCCGAAGGGACTTGTACGTTCTGCTCCAAAAATTTCCCCTGATGTTTAAAATATAGAAACTTTAAAATGAAAACATTGGGCTGGGGAGGTGGCTCAAGCGGTAACACACTCGCCTGGCATGCTCGGGGCGCTGGGTGCGATCCTCAGCACCACATAAAATAAAGATGTTGTGTCCACCGAAAACTAAAAACATCAAGCTTGGGATTAGGCAAAGATTTCTTAGTTGTAACACCATAAAAGGAAAAACTTCAATTGGACTTGATGTGTTCGTGCTCTTGACTGTGAATCCTGAGTGACGTACATCAATACCTAGCTAATTTATATGTCGTTATATGTTAAAAAACATGACTCACTCCCACTCTCCCGATTCTGTAAGTCTGAGGAAAGCCACGGAGTCTGCACTTTGAACTGGCTTCCAGGCAATTCTAAGGCACGTCTTCAGACAGGGGCAGGATTTGAAGTTCCCCAGGTGCGAAGCAAACCCTGAGGACTGGCCAGGCAAGCAGAGGAGCTGGAGGTCCAGATGAGAACAGGAAGCCCTGTCTCCGTGGTCTCTCCACCCATGGATATGGGCCAAGAAGGGCAGGGGGCTGTGGCTTCCTGTCACCATTTAATGTTTGGTGTGTATCATATCCCATTAGATGCCAAAGAGGGCAGACCTGTATTTCATGTTATTCCCAGAAGTTCCAAGAGATGGGAATGTCAGTGTGATGGTTAATTTTACCTGTCAACCTGGCTGGGCTCTGGTACCCAATCACCTGATCAATACCAATCTGGATATTTCTGTGAAGTAACAGATCAGTAGACTGACTAAAGGAGATGGGTGGGTCTCATCCAATCAGGCGAAGGTCTTAAGTGAAAAGGGGTCCCTGGAAGAAGGAATTTTGTTTCCAGATGGGTTTTGGACTCATAATTGCAACCTAAAGTCCTCCCTGGGTCTCCAGCTTGCCAGTCTGCTCTGCAGATCTCACACTGGCCAGCCCCTCCCAAGCCCACAGGCCAATTCCTGAAAATAAGTTAGTCTCTCTATATATCTCTACTAATACACAAATAAAATAAATTTAACTAATTACTGGGGGCCCCTGTGGGGGCTCTGGAAGGCTGGACAGGACAGACACATTTGAAGCCTTGAACTAGTCCTGTATCCTTCCAGAGCCCAAACCCATGCAGTGTCTGCAAAGGGTCTAAATCAATGTTTTTCTTTCCTGTGGGGTCAGGTGATTGAACCAAGAAAAGATTCAGAAAGGCCCTCCTCCTGGGCGCGGTGCACCATCCCACACTATCTTCAGACCCCCTCTCTCAGTGGGATGACCTGCTCGCGTCCTGGCCTTGTCCTTCCTCAGGCGATGAGTGATGGCCGTGGGTTCTTGACACAGCAGACACAGCAGTTTCTCCAGTTAATCATTACCTTAACGTATGGTCCCTAAGTCCCAAGTCACAAGCCCCCTGACTCCAACCTGACCTCAGATTCCTCCACGGGAGGCTCAGGCACTGTGCCAGGCACTGAACCCAGGAGCAAAGCTGGTCAGCGGCCGGGTCAGAGTGTGTTCCATAAGACACAGAAAAGGTGATCGGGACGTCGGATCGCGGGGAGCTTCGGCTCCTGGGTCCAAGCTTAGAAACGGGAAGGGGTTTCCCAGGGTCGGTTTCTCAACGCTGTCCTGCAGCTGTTGCCGCTCCTTGTCAGGGATTCCGAGCATCTGGGGTCCCCCAGGCACTGCATTTGATATTTCACCCTTGGAGTTTCGGGAGAACTGATTCCGTGCCTAACCTCCAGAGATACTCCCAGGGGCGGGGGAAGGACGGGGAGAAAGAGGAGGAGACGGGGGTCAAGCCCAGTGACTCGATTTATCACCGGTGAGCATGGCAGTGAGCAGCAGCTGCCACCCCACGCCCAGCACCAAGGGGTACTGTGGAGCACAAGCCAGGGAGCTTCCCGGGGCCCCTACAAAGGAGTAGACTCGCCCCTCCTTCTGGGTCTCCTCCTGGATCCATGGAATGAACTGAGCCACAGACACAAACACGCCAGGCCTTCCCCTGGAGCCAGAGCTCTTGCCCCAGATGAAGACGCCCGCCTGGAAGAGCCTCTGGGATCCGTGGTCAGCACAGACCATGGGCACCCCGCTGTCCCCCTGGGAAGGAGAAAAGAGCACTGGTCGGGAGCAGTCTCAGGGCCTCCAGCCAGGGCCCCGGGGCCAGAGGGTCCTGGTGGTGTGGGCTGGGGGCCTCCCTCCTGGCCTCTGCTGGGGCCTCCCTCCTGGCCTCTGCTGGGGCCTCCCTCCTGGGCTCTGCTGGGGGCCTCCCTCCTGGCCTCTGCTGGGGGCCTCCCTCCTGGCCTCTGCTGGGGCCTCCCTCCTGGGCTCTGCTGGGGGCCTGGAAGGTGGCGGAGGAGGAAGGCCGGGCAGGGTCCCTACCTGGCTGTTGCCATTGGTGTCCTGTTCCTGCCAGGCACAGAGCGTGGCCCTGGGGAGCTGCTGGACCCACTTGCTGCACTCCCTCCGGCTGATCTGGCTCACCCGCAGCTTCTTCAGGTGCATGTTGGCGTTCTCGGGTGGGCCTGGCAAAGTGAAGACGTCTGCGTGAGATGGAGATGGCGTGGGCTGCTGGCAGCCACAGCCCATCAGGGTGGAAGTTCTGGGGCCTCAAATTTCCTCAAATCTCCAGTTCAGAGGGTGGGGGGCCTTAGTGAAGCCCTAGGGCAAGGCCCCGCCGTCTCCTCTCAGCTCTAGCAGGGGGTTCCTCTGCTGAACTGTCTCCCTGTAGGAAGCTCACTTCTTCCAGAAGCAGCCCACGAGAGCCCTGGTCCCTGGCAGGACGACCTGCGGTGGGCAACCCTCTGAAATGGTGGTCCGTGGTGCCTTTGCCAAGCCAAACAGAGAAACCAGGCACAGGACGCACCTGGAGGTGCTATTTTGCAGGAAGGAAATGCCCAGGAGGCTAGAGGAGCTCTTGGTCTTCTCCCCACCTGTTCCCTCCCTCCCAGAAATCCTCCCTGACTGACCAGCCTGGAGCCCTGCAGGAAAGTGCTGGAGTCAGGAGTGGCCACTGGACCAGAGGATCACTGGCTGGGAGTTATGGGGGGGTGGTCTATAGCACGTGGTCAGCTGATGGAGATGGACATTGTAAAACAGGCTCTCAAGGGAGAATCCAACAATCTAATGAACAATTATCATTGTTCTCATACTTTGGAATTCTTCTATGTCCCAGGCTTTTAATCAGGATCTTACCTATATAATTTCACTAATTTAACCTACATGGTGTGTTTGAGGGAGATATCGATTACTGTTATTCTATGAGAAGGTGAAGAGGGTGAAGGATCTTGCCCCCTGTTCAGACCTGAGTCTTCCTGCATCAGCCCAGGGCTACCTAACACCAGCCTCCCGGGTTCCCAGGGAAGGCACCCACCGTGCACAGCAGTCGGCACCCACTCTGCCATCCAGCACCTGTCCCAGACCCTCTCCTTCTCCTGCAGGCAGATGGGCATTTTTAAGCTGGTGAACTCTACTGGCGTGGCGAGCAGGAGCAAGCAGAGGTCGCTGTCAAGGGAGGGTGGCTTGTAGTCTTTGTGAATAATGATCTTCTGCACTTGCTTTCTCTCCAAGTGGGTGCTGCTGAGTGTTTTGGCTCCTATGACCACAGTGACATTTACTACTGCCATTTCTAATCTGAAGAATGAATACAAGAACACCCTCACAAACACATTTGTGAACAATAGAGTTGACAATTAAATACTGAGGTCGCACGGCATGCCACCGTGGCTTGGGGAGTGCTGGAGAGTGGAGATCAGGTAGGTAGGGGTCAGGGGTCCCACTTCAGCAAATCTCTGAGCCAATGACCCATCAGCCCAGAGAAACCCCGAGCACCAGGGAGGGCCACGGGAGAGGAGACAGCGTGGCTGGCTTATCGTCTGCTGCATCCCCAGCACTTGGAATAGCACACGGTGGGTGCTCAATGTGTGTGTGTACAATGAATGAATCCACTGTGTTGTCTTCATATACAGAGGGCAGGCGGCGGAGAGGCCTGGGAGGGTCTTCCGACACTGGGGTGCAGCTGCGAGGAGCCGCTCACCTGTGGGTATGGTTGGCCGAGGGAGGCGGAGAGAGCAGGTATACAGTGACTTTGGTCCCAAGCCAACAGGAGTGAATGTACTGGGGACAGAACCCATGGCCTCCAGGTCTTGTACACCAACCCACCAGCCGACCACTAGGGGACTAGACAGGATGTAAACCAAGGCGACGCCCTGGGCACTTACAGGGTTCTTGGGAAGCAGTGTGCGGCCGTCAGGACCCACCACTGGTGTATGATGGCGCCTCCACAGAGGTGCTGCCCAGACATCTGGATACTCACTTGCCACGGGAATTCACCATTCTGGACCTGAAGCAATTCGCGGAAGGGCAGCCATGATGAGTTTGGAAAGGCAGGTCTGTAGCCACACTGAACCACTTCTGAAAGAGACAGAACACTGACTCGCACCCGAGAAGCACGGAGAAAGCCTCGTCTCGTGTTCCTGGCGCCCGTCCAGCCAAGGACGTTGCCCAAGTGGAGGGAAGTCAGTGAGCAGGCCAGGCAGGGACAGATCTCGGAAAACACCCAAAGGGAGCTGTGAGACCCCAGGGCAGTGCGGAGCTCCACTAGAGAGTACACAGAGTTGGAACAGCAATGGGGACAAGCCAAAGACACGCAGGAGACAGAGGAAAAGTTACTGTGGGATCACCAGCTGTAACTGGAGGAAATGGAGTCCAGGCCTCTAGGAAGGCTGCAGGGCTCGGGGAGAAGGCCAAGGAGGGAAGGTCAGAACTCGGGTTTCCTGGCCAGAGCTGACGTTGAGTCTGATCAACAGACCACACACTGTATCTGGGTGATTGACAGATGTGAAGGCAGGGACAGCTTTTTTGGCAGGAGACCATTCAGAGGCTAAGGCAGGTTTAGGGTGCAGGGGGAGGAGAAGAGGAAACTCCAGAGGAAGGGCAATCAGAGAGGGGGCTCCCTGCTAGGTGGGAAGTCTGGGTCAGAGAAGCTCCCGAGGCAGCACTGTGGCCTGAGGTCTCTAGAGCCCCAAGCTTCACCTGTCGGTGGCTGATGTTGGGTGCAGGTCTGTGGAGTGTGCAAAGCAGGCAGGCCCTGGATGGCTGGACTCTTCTTTGCACTGTTCTAAACACTGGATGTGACAAAAGGGAGCTTAGCACCTGCAAGAGTTTGTGCTAAGACGTGTCAGCCTGCTGACAGTAGGCAAGGCGCCCACGGCCTCAGTATTTCACAAGGGTCACCAAATAAGGTGACCGTGCCATAGGAGGAAGGAGCACAAACAGGAACATCCCCTTCCTTCTGCAGTATCCCTCCTGCCTGTTCTGCGAGAAAGTTTAACATGTTCACGGGCTGCAGCTCCATCGCTGCAGAGTAGGCAGTGAGGGGTGGTCCCAGCCACAAACTGAGGGAGCCAAAGAACACGTGTGAGGGTGGGGGAGGGATGGGGGAGAGATGGCGGAGGAAGGCACAGAAGATATGCAGATTAGACAGGCCCGTGGCCACCGACCTCCAGTAAATCCACACTCCTTGAAGGAATCCCAAAAATGGCTGGCCCAGAAGAATGAATTATTGAAAAGGGCTTTGGCACAGAAATAATAAATATATGTTCTTTTTTTCCAAAGGGGAGAGGAATAGGAAAAAGCAGCAAAATTTATCAGATAAAACCTGGCTCTTGCTTTTTATGGAAATCAGGTAAAGTAGCAAATGGCACTGGAAGAGTGGGACAACGCAAACTTTATTTTACGCCTGCGGGCCCGGAGGAGATCAGACTCTAGATTCTGAGCACCCAGCACCAGTTTTTCACAACATTTATAGACTCTCTGGTGCCGTGAATGTTACCCGATATACAGCTGTGCACAGGGTTCCTAGCAGGAAGCTCGCTTAGAGGAGCAGAGCTGATCAGGGAAGAACTGCCTCCTCTCACAGGCCTTTGATAACCCTCTACCCCTGGGCCTGAGCCTCCACTTCAAGGGGAGTAGTCGTCCCAGGAGGAGGGAGTGGATGGTGCTGGTCAGGTTTCCTGGGAAGGCTGACAGAACGGGGAGGGGACCTTTCCCAGGCACAGTTCTCACGACAGTGTCCTTAGAGTTCCTTTTACATCCAGGCCTGGGCTTGTCACCCACTATGTTGTCACCCATTGCTACCCATTACATGTTGGAATTGCAAGACAACTATCAATGACCTTCAGAAAAGATGGCTGATCAATTCATAAACACGCCTACCCAACACACATATAAAACAGGTCCTTGATGCCCACTGAAACTGACCGACAAACATCATTTTTTAAAACAGAAAAAAGGTCATTTATGCCAAGATCACTAAAACCAAGGTCATGCTGAACTTTGAGGATTTTCCAACTATGGTATTGTTTCAACAGGACGAAAGTGACAATGACGTTCAGCACACAGTCTTCCTATTCTAGAGGTTCTCACAACAGAGTTCTAGAAACTAGAAATTAAAGGAAAAAATAAAACCATAGATTCCTATAACCATTTGCAGCTCAGGGGGCATGGCCATGGCCCAGACAGGCCATAGGAAGGACAAGGCCGCTTGTCCTCTCGGGTCAGGCACACTGACATCTCCACCTTTGATGTGGCTTCTTTAAAGGTCAAGATGAGGAAACAACTGAACCAGGACCTAGAGTCAGCTGTGCAGAGAAGAGCACAGGGGTGTCCCAGGGAAGAGGCTCCCATCCTCCCAAGAGCACCACCTCCAAGAGGGAGGAAGCCCCCGAAGCCCAAGGGTCCCCCTAGGCCTGGGATCTCACCCCTGTCCGCCTTCTTCAGAGGGAAGATATTCCAGGGCAGTTCTCCAGACAGTCGTGACCCAGCCCCGTCCCTGTCAGACAGACTGATCAGGTGGTGGTGATGAGGGCCAGGCTGAAGGGGAGAGGGGAGACTGCAGTGAGATTCCTCCAGACCACCAGCCGCAAAATGGGGGTCTGTCAGAACTGGCCCCAGGCTAAAAGCAAAGTATAAAAAAATGAGAATCATGCAAAACACACATGACAATGCATTTATTTGTATAATCATCAGGGGAAAGATGAATGAAAGCTGTTTTATGCAAGAATATTGTAGAATAAGAGCTCATGAGGAAAGGGTTTAAAAAGGAAAAAGGCAGAAACAAAGAAAAATAAGGGGAAATGAAAGTTAAACCCCGAATAGCTGGAATGTGACGCGGGACCTTCTTGCGTGACAACCACAGCGTGGGCCATGAGAAGCCCCGTGAAGATACCTGGGAAGAGGACAAATAGAGAGGGCAGCCAGGAAACAGGAGCGCCGGGCACACCTGGCAGATTGTGAAGGGCTGGGCTCCAGGCCCCAGTGACGGTGACAGCCTCATAAACTCCCCACTTTGGCCAGGCACCGAGTGGTCTGCACCCTAACCCTAAGGGTGCATCAGAAGCCAACCAGGCTGCACGTGCACCAGAGGAATAGAATAGCAAGCAGAATCTCACCAGAGGCTGCTACCATGTTGCAGGGGGTAACAGCCGTGTAGCAACTTCGGCTGCACAGAACGTCCACAAGAGCCCAAGGCACCCAGCTCCACCACACAGACAACACCCCCCACAGACAACACCCCCACACACAGACAACACCCCCCACACAGACAACACCCCCCACACAGACAACACCCCCCCACACACAGAGACAACACCCCCACACAGATAACACCCCACACAAGACAACACCCCCCACAGACAACACTCCCCCACACAGACAACACCCCCCCCACACACAGACAACACACCCACA